TGGCATAACAATGTGAATATACTTCATTACTGTACTTTAAAATTAAAAAGATTTAAGATGATAAATTTTGTGTTAATGTGTTGTCACAATTTTTTAAAAAATGATAATTAAAAGAGATGCAGAGTTATAAACCTTTGCAAAAATTACCTTCAAATCACAAGTGTTTCTCTCACACAAAGAAAATAGAAATTCATCAATAAACACATGGTGAAACTAAGAATATTTTCATGCTACTCATCCAGACAGAATAAAACAACCATTGACAAGCCAAAATAAGAAATATATAAGAGAAGCCATGAACAATTTGGAGTCATATTTATAGACACAAACAAACACATATATAATTTAATTGTAATATACCTATGCCTGATTCATATTTAAAATAACTCTCACATTGAATTTTTATTGAAAATTATAATAAATAGGTAAAACCAAAAACAGAATAAATTAATGTCAGGGAAACTACCCCATAAAAAGGAAAATACAGAAATACAGTATTGTAAAACAAAAATAAAAGAAACATTTACCCATAAAATTCTCTATGCAACATTGATGTACTATTATAATTATTTTCTAGATAACTACAATGTTCAGCTATGACTGTGCACCCATAGGGAAGAGGAATTTTGAATCATTGGCATGCAGTGTATGGCAGTAAAATATTATAGAAAATGCATTACGATCATTACTAAAAGGCTCTAATGAGAAATTTTTAATGAATAAGCATTTAAAAAAACACTAAAGATAATGTTTTATTATGTTATTAATATATGGACACTATTCTTACACAAAATAAAAAGGCTGCAATCCAGGCTTTGGAAGCCAAAAAAAACCTTACTTTTTTTTTTTTTATTCTCAAAGAATGTGATTTACTTTTCTAAGTAAAGAAAAAATATAAAATTTATAATAAGAATCACTGCTATGTAAAATGAACACTTGGGAATAAATCACATTATCATTTACATACAGGTTGAGGAAAGTGGATGAAAATCTTAATAATTTCTTTTACCTGTAGTAAACTTAAACTCACAAGTGGACATATTAATAAATATGGAGTGACTATTAATTTACTTCTCCCACAATGTATACATTCAAGCACATTGTTTTGAATGTTTGAATCTGTATTACAGACAAATTTGAAACAAAACAAATGAGAAAGTGAAAACATATAAGGAGAGTGGCATCGGCAAGAAGGAGGAATAGAAAATCCCTCACTTGTATATGTCCCCCAGCATCTATAATTTGCCAGCCATTCACTGACAAAAGTGCATTATGACACATTTGGGAGCCAGGGAGAAGTTAGAACCCCATGAAAGCCCAAGATCAAGACAGGGCATTTTGAGAAAGCAGGCCCTAATCTAGGTGTCAAACTTCATAACCCCTGTTCTTGACTGCAGAACAGGAATCGGTCCACCCAGTGTGGTCCCATTGAGAATTCTGAAGCTACTCTGTAACCATTTTCTACTCCTCCCAGCCACAGTCTGGTAGTGGCCCTGCCATCCAGAGAGCTGGGGCAAAATGCCCATTTATAACCATGGAAGCAGGCCTGCAGACTTTGGTTTTTCCTGTGGTCTCTAAAGCAGTTCTGTGACTCAGTTTCAGCCATCCTTGGCCAGTTCTGTCCACGTAGGGACCCATAGAATGACCTGAACAAACCCTCCCAGGTACTCAGTTGGGAGCCACACTCACCCACACACCTCGTATCAGGTCTGACATATGTGGATCCAACTGCAGAACCCTGCCCAAGGGCCCGCCCTACAGATCAAAGTCATGAAGGCAATACAGTATTGCACAAAAATAAGACAGGACTTGCAGCCACCCAAGCTCCTGGTAACAAGCTCACCAAAGCTAGATGCTACTGCAGGCTTGCAGCAGCCTTGTGACCAAGCTAGAACCCCTCTCCACTGCACTCCCAGAAGAGATTCCATCAGCTTGAGGAATCAGCAAGAGACTATCTTTACCTGCTAAAACCAGTTTATAAAAATTGCAGACACTAATGCAAGTTGATATTCTGCCTTCTTTCAGTGCTTCTATTTTAACGTAATACTAGAAGTCCTAGGCAAAACAATTTGGCAGGAAAATGGGGGGGGGGGGAGCCAACCAAAAGGAAAGAAAAAAGTAAAAGAAAACAAAAAACTAAAAATGTCACTGTAGATGACATAATCTTATATATAGAAAAATATAAATGTTACACAAAAAAACTGTTAAAACTAATGAATAAACTTAGTAAATTAACAGAATATAAAATTAACCTAGAAACATGAGTTGTGTTTCCATACACTAATAACAATCTGATTTAAAAAAGAAAGAAAACAATCTACAATATCATCAAAATAATATATTCTAAGCACACATTTAACCAAAAAGGTGAAAGATCTTTACATTGAACAAATAAATTGATAAAAAAGACATAAACTAATGTAAAAATAGCCCATGTTTATGTATTAGAAGAATTAATATTGTTAAAATACCATATTATCCAAACCAATCTACATATTTAATGTGATTTCTATCAAAATTCCAACAGCACTTTTCACAATAAGAGAAAAAAATCATTCAAAATTCATACAAATTTACAAGAGACTTTGAATAATCAAAGCAATGTTGAGGAAGAAAAAGCTGAAAACATCATGCTTTCAGATTTCAAACTATTTTTATAAGAATATACTAGTAAAAACAAGATCATATGTTCATTAAAAACTGAAACAAAAACCATTGGAATTAAAGAGAAAGCCTAAAAATAAACCCAGGCATAAAAGGTCAACTAATCTTTGACAGGGACACCAAGAACACACAATACAGAAAGCATAGTCTCTTTAATACTTAATGGTAGAAAAACTCAATAAACCATCAGAAAAAGAATAAAATTAGACCATTTTTCTCACATCATACCTAAAAATTAACTCAAAATAAAGACAAAAGAAATACATGAATCCTTACAAATCATAAAAGAAACATGGAATATCTTCCCAATGTTGGTCTCAGCAATAATTTTTTGAATATGGCACAAAAAGTACAGCAAAAAAGCAAAAATAAACAAGTTAAACTGCATCACACAAAAAAGCTTCTAAACAACAATAAAAAAAATAAAGTAAGAAAACATATAGGATGGAAGAAAACATGTACAAACCATGTATCTGATAAAGTATCCAAAATATAAAAGAAACTCATACAAATCAAAGACAAAAACAACAATGATAATAATAACTCAATTAAAAATAAAAATTAAATAGATTTTTTTCCAAAAAATACATTACAAATGGCCAAAAGGTATATTAAAAGGTGCTCAACATCTCCAATCATCAGGCAAATGCAAATGAAAACAATGAGACATTACCTCACACCTCTTAGGATAGCTAATACTAAAAAGACGAGAGATAGCAAGTGTTGACAAGGGCATGAAGAAAAAGAAATACAGTACACTGCTGTTGAGTTTTAAATTGGTGATTCATTATGAAAACCAGTATGGAGGCTCTTTAAAGAAAAAAAATAATAAATCTAACATACAATCCAGCAATCCTACTTCTCTGTATATAACCAAAGGAAATGTAATAAAATCAGAATCTCAAAGAAATATCTATACCCCTACATTATTGCAGTATTACTCACAATTGCCAAGATATGAAAACAACCTAAATGTTTGTGGACATGGACATGGAATGGATAAAGAAATACGGTATATATACACAGCAGAATATTATTCAGCCATAAAAAATTATGAAATCCTGCCATTTACCCAACATGATAGACCTGAAGGACATTATGCTTAGTGAAATAAGTCAGAAACAGAAAGGCAAATACTTCATGTTCTCACTTATATGAGGATTCTAAAACGGTTGAACTCACAGAATTGGAGAATACAAAGGTGGTTGCAAAGCATGCATGTGGAAAAAACAGAAAAATGCTTTCCAAAGGGTACAAACTTTCAGTTGTAAGATGAATAACTTTTGAGTATTTCATATGTAGCATGATGACTATAATAATAGTATTTTGTTCCCCAAAATTTGCTAAGATAGTAGACCTTAAATGTTCTCAATACCAAAAAAGTAACTATGTGAGGTGATACGTGTTCATTAACTTCACTGTATTAATTATTATAAAATTTATAAATATCAAGTCATTACACTGTATACAATATATATTTATACAAATCTATATGTTAAACACACACACACACACACACACACACACACTTAGGTATATATATGAATGATACAGTCAAGGTAAGCTTCATACCAAACAAGAGAAACTTATAAAATCAGTTACTAAAAATATAAGATCACAAGTGGGAGTTTAATATATGCTGAGCAATGTTCTGTGATCCCCAATGACATAGTATATTTAAGAAATCTAGGAAGTGAGTATTTATACTAAACTATATGATAGTTGAGAAATATAAAAATATAGAATTTAAATTGTTAATTTCAGTTCATACTAAAAAAAATTTTGAAGATAGCATTAATTTTTTTACATTTTGAGAGATTCTTAGTGTTCTGATAAAATTACTGAGCATACATTTCTGCAAAATAACAATGAAAACCTACATTTGATAGGAAATGATAAAGCAGAAAATGTACGTCTGTCACTGATGTTCCTACGATTTTTGAAGCAAATATCAATAATACCAATACTCATACACATTTCAGATGATGTCAAAAGGGAACATAAAAAAAGGTTTAATATAGAGTTCCTTAAAAATATGCACAGATATTCTTAAGTCCTCAAAAGAAATGGAACAGCACTCAGATAATACAGTCCCTCATAGGCCATGAAGATGACATTGGCTCTTACTATAACTTTGAAGGAAGGTCACTGAAAGGAAGTAGAGTCCTTAGAGAATTTTAGAGCATAGGATAGCAGACAGCACAGGAGAGCACAGGAAAGAAATCCAGGCTTCTCAGAAATCATTTCTTTTGAAGCACAGCTTCCCACACCACATTTTACAGTCTGATTAGATCTTTGGACCTCTCATCTGTGTCATCTGCTTCGCTCCCACCTACCCTGGAGTTTGGCTACTGTCTCATGTCTCTTCACATTCCAGGGCCCTTGTCTTTGCTCCAGAAAGGTGATCAGGTCCGGCTTAGAAACAACGAGACCTATTTTATTAGAAAAAAAATAACTTAACTCTTGCTAGGATTTTCCAATTACCAATGTAGTACTGTGCTCAGTACAGAAGAGAGAACATTATAGAAGATTGTAAAAAAAATTAAACTCAAAATCTGTTTCCTGACAGAACATTAGAATATTTAGAAAATATTTTAAATTTGTCCATCCTTAGTACTACTGAATTTTATCACTGAATTAAAAATTCGTGATAAAAATTGTATTTTAAGGTCTGGCTAATAATGTTTTATACCACTGAATTTCCAGACTTGCCACCAAACTACAGTGAAGTATACAGATCAGTTCACGAAAGGGGATGGTTCATTTCAAGATAAAACATCTCGAAGATTTTTTTCTACACCAGGAAGCTTCGAAGTTTCTACTGAAAGCAGGGAAATGAAACTCATTCATATAAATCAGAAACTCCAAATAAAATTTCACAAGGAAAGAAAATGAAACCCTAAGGGTACATTAGGAATCTTAAAGGGAAGTTGTCCTCACCCAGGAAGACCAGGTTTCTGTAGTTCTCTAACATTACATCCCTGTACAAATTCTGTTGAGCAGGATCCAGGCACGCCTGCTCCTCCTGAGAGAATTCGATGGCTACATCCTTGAATGTTAGCAATCCCTGGGGAAAAAAATCACGTATTTACCAAGTAGTCATGAATAGCATTTTTAATTTGATTGAATATAAAATAAGAGTGAAAAGACCTGCCTCTGACATATATGAATGAGTGGAATTATCCAATAATTAACATAGGAATACTCTGTAATGTATTCTCTAACTCTGAGGACAGAGGATGACAAAAAGATCCACAAAACAAGTGTAGATACTGTACTTTTCTTGACGACAAAGTATAAAAATAAGGGCATCAACACAGGAATATACATTTTTGAGTGGCCTATACACCACACACAACAAGCTCTATATGTTTCTCAGAAGGAAGTCATGGTGAGTTAGAAGGCTACTTCTAAAATTTTAATGTGTACTACAGTGAACTGGAGATCTTATTAAGATGCACATTCTGATTCAGATCTGGAGTGGAACTTAAGTTTCTGCATTTCTAACAAACTCCTCAGCAATGCAACCAACTTCTTCTGGTTCAAAAAGAATATTGTGTCAAACATACAGTAAGTGGAAGAGCCTGAGTTTTATCCTAATTTGTCTGACCAAAAAACAAAGACGAGAACCTTCATTTCTCAATGCAAGCTATAAGCAAAGAGAAACTAAGAAAGGGGAGCTTCCAGATTTAATGTGATAATTTATGAACATGAGTCATTAAAACTCCCCAACTTCTTCATGATAAACTAAAATATAATTAACTTTATAGTGGAGAAATCTGTCAGAGAGCACCTTAACCAAGTGAATGAACATCAACTGTAGGAGGGCAAACTGGCATGAGGTGCTGATGTATACAGGATACATCACTGCTGTGAGATTATTGGCCAAAAAAAAAATGAATCATAATCTGAACATAATCATGAAAAATATCAGTTTTATACAAAGTTCAAACCACATATTATTTCTCATGTTCTGTAATCTCCAGTAGTGTATTTAAATAGTCTTTTTTTAACATCCTAGAGAGCACATCTCTTCTAATTAGTCTCTTTTTCAGAACTTTCTGAGTTACCTTGGCAATTACCGTCATCCTCTTTAAATACGCATTTTTTTTTTTTTTGAGACAGGATCTCTTTCTGTTGCCCAGGCTAGAGGCATCATAACTGACTGTAACCTCAAACTCCTGGGTTCAAGCCATCCTCCTGCCTCAGCTTCCTGAGTAGCTGGGACTGCAGGCACATGCCACCACGTCCACCTGATTTCTCATTTTTGCCCAGGCTGGTCTCAAACCTCTGATCTCAACCAATCCTTTTGCCTTGGACTCCCTAAGTGCTAAAATTATAGGTATGAGCCACCACATCCAGCCATAAGTGTGTATTTTTAAATTCTATTTGGAATGGAGATGATGGGGCATCTAGAGAGAACCTCAACAGCATATATTTCCTTTGTTCACTAGTATCTGAGTACCCAACCCTTATGCCCAAGAGGAATCTTGTGTATACACACCTTCCCATGTTGATCTGTCAAAAGGGAACATTTTTAATATTGCAGGTCATAATTTCATGGTAAGAACTGTTCTTAGCATATAAAAAGCCTGGATTTTGAGAATGGAGAGAAGGCTCTGGTGTGTAGGGGAAAAGGATTTTAAAGAGCCCCTTGGAAATCATAAGAAGAAAGGGGAAAAAAAGTAACTGAGCCAATCTTTTTAGGCAGAAACCTCAGAAGTAGGGAAACAACAGTTTGCAAGTCCTAAATACATGACATTCTAGGAGTAAAGTAGGACACAGACCCTGCCCTGGGAGACTCTTACCTGAGAACCAGCCATTTCTTCTCCTCTTCCTGCTTCTCTAGGATTCCTTCTCAGGCGAGACTGAACAAATCACAGCTGCATCTTGAGAATATGCATTTCAAGGCATCAGCACAACCCCTTTATCTGCTACCACCACACCCACAGGCAGAAGAACCATAAAGTGCAGAAAAGGCTGCATTTATCTATATTTTGTCACCGTAGAGATACTGGAACAATGAGATCTTACATAAAGATGAAAGTGTGAGTTTCTCCTTTCATGTCATCAGGTGCCTTCCCCTGCCACAGGCACCAGCAATTTCTGCAGCAGCAATGGGAATATGGGCCACAGTGACCCACCACCGCCAAACCCAAGCAGAGCAGGCACTGTGACCTCCCTTTGGAAAAAAGGCTGGACTCATCTCTCCCGAATGGATCACGGAGCCCACATGCTTAACCCTGTCCTCATCTTAGAATCACATGGGCACTTATTTAAAACCACATGGATGCTCCCACCCAGACAAATAGCCAGAATCTGTAGGGAGGGCACAGGGGATGGTATGTCTTCAAACTGGTCACTGGATTATAATTGGAAGCCTGGGCTGAGAGCCACTTAGCTGAGCATTGTCTCTCAAGCTTCAATCTACACAGAAATCATTTGGTGTCTAGGCCCGAGTCTAAGTAATGTGATTCTACAGGAGTGAAAAGAGTTCATGGATTGGCTTCATTAACAAGTTCCCTGTGAATGCTGATGTTGCTTTCCCAGACCTGTCACCAGTAGCACTCATCTAGAGACAGCAGACATAGCACAGAGTCCCGTACACTCAACACTCTTATCACAACATAAATTCTTCTGGTCCAACTGAAGACCACAAGTTACCATCATGAACCAACATTTTCTGTCGGTCCTTTAAAGTTTACAGAGGCTAGAAAGGCAACTATATCTAAGGAAGTCATTTGGAAAACAACATGTGCACATGCGTTAATGCAGTATTTATTGACAACGTACTTTGTGCTTAACAAGTATGCTACAGTGCACTGTGCTGGGAAACTCAAATTGTGTGAGTTGATCTTCATAATACCCTGCGAGTCAGGTACTAAGTGTTCCATAATTCACAGCAGGATTCTTGCAGATCTTATAGTTGGTGCTTTTATTCTATAGCAATACTACTTTAGAATAAAATTACTTTTAGCTTAAAGTAGGATTTATTTTATTTGATAATATCTAAAAACAGCCCCAGGACAATAACAATTACACCCTCAGAAAGGGCATCACAGCCTCACTCCCATCCCAACCCCAACCACATCTGCCTGTGGATCCCAGGATTCCCAGAATCTGTAGCTTCTTTCAGCATAAAGGGCTCCTGCCAAGGAAGCTTGCCAGGAAGAACTAACTGGCCCTTCGATGGCCTCATTTTGCTAGATCAGGATGGACCTTGGCCTTGAGTCTCTGAGCCCAGGTCTCTGCTTCCCAGTTAAGGATATTCACTTAGTTTTAAATGAGAAATAGCCAGTGTTTGAAGAATCCAGCAAAATCACTCAAACTCAGTGTTTATGTTTATAAAAGGGAAGAAAAGTATAAAAGATTTATACTTCACATCTCAATAGGAAAAGCAAAAATATCTATCACTTTCAGATAATAAAGATGTCATTTAATTATTTCTATAACAAATCATTTAGCAAACAATGAATCATATGTGAACACTTCTAGTAACTGCCAAGTCCTGTCACATAAAATTTACCTATGAATGCTGATATTCAGATTACAGGACACAGAACATAGTTGTCCACTGTCAAGAACTCTCCACTCTGCATAAGAGAGAAACTGATGTTTTGGTGAATATTTATACTTCAACAATTTATCTACCACACTTTCTTGTGGAAATGTATCCATTTTTCTGCAGCCATAATGATAGAGATATTTTCCCTATTTCTTCTTCTCGGTAGCATTCCCAAAGGTAAGCCCCGGGATAGTATTTGATATCACCCCAAAATAGAACAGATCATACAACCTGACAACCCTCAAAGTGGAGAAGAAAAAGGGTAAGTAAGAACTATTAACAAATGAAATACAAAACTAGATTTTTTTTCACTAAAGGTCACCTCTTTCTTGCGTCATTGAAAATATTTTATTATCTGTCAGCCTTTGCTGATAAAATGCACTTTACAGTTAAAAAATAAATCCTTTCAAGGTAAAAAGTCTAGGGAGGGGGTGCTGACTACAGCACAGGCATGTGTGACTCCAGTGTCAAGTCGGCTGTCGCTTGAGAAATCCTCCCACTCCCATCCTACTCATTGAAGGACTCAATGACCAACAGCCCAGGAGACACTGCTCTGTGCCTCTGTGTGCCTGAAGTGCAAATTGCTTTGCAGCTTCTTGTACTGCCTCATTTTGGTGGGTTTTCCTTTTTTGGGATAGTTTTTTTCTCCCTTTAAAAGTATGAAAGAATTCAGAGGGCAAGAGTCATTTCTTCACTTTCCTTTCAATACCAGCATTCTATTGGCTGAACACCAATGTACCCACATGGAACGGAAGCTCAGCTTGGGCAAAGAAAACCTTAAGGTCCTAAGGGATTAGCTTTCTAGGTGAAGGGTACAAGAGACTCCTCTCAGCACCAGAGCAGGCAGCTGTTACCCCAATCCTCAGGCTGTCCTCTGGGAGGAGATGACACAGGGCAGACATTCACTAGATACTCCAGGATACACGGCTGCTGGGGGAATCTTGGGCCATCCCCAAACAGTTGTGAAACAAGGACCCGGAAAAGACAGGAGGATGACTGAGGACACTTCACCCTGTAAAGTTTCCAAAGGATAACCAAAACATAAAGATAGTCTGGTAAGGTGTATGTGCCTAGGGAAGGTAAAAAGAATAGAATCACAAAGATATTTTACAAGAGAGTGGCAGGTGATTATTGTCTGCTTTCCTTACATTTGAAATATTCAGAAACAGAAAAGTTATTTAAAAAGAGACACCCTCAGCACTGCGAAAAAAAATAATTAAAATACTGTATCTGTTTGAAAAATAAATAAAGGTCAAATAGTTGACAATGTTATGAGTTGGAGAGCAGCAGTAGGAAGTTGAGAACGTGGGGAAGAAACTGAAAATTTATGATATCCAACAGGACTTAGAACAGCCAGGCTGGGAAAACTGGATTTGAGTCTTGGATCTGAGACACTGCTTGCCATACTTTTGGAAAATGTAAGGAAAATCAGTCCCCCTAGAAAGCATTAAAATAGTTAAACAGGGGGCAATTAGCCTGAAGTGTCTGTAATGTCCTGGGTTCCTATGTACAGACACCTAATTCTAACTCAAATGCATTTCCCATAAATTACAACTTAGAGGGAAAAAAAACTTAGGCGAACTACAAACTGCCAATAAAGCTCTGATTGCATAATCAGAAAGTAGCCATGTGGACAGTCCAAATAAGGCCACTACATAACTGTACCCAGTCAACTACTGAATGTAGTTTGCTTCCTCATGCACCTTTTAAAAGCCTTTCCTTCAAGCGCTTCCAGTGGCCCCAAGACCACAAACCATGTTTGTAGGCTTCTAGATTCACAAATTACTATTTGCTCAAATAAACTCTTTTAAGCATTCACACTTTCTCAGTTTAATTTTTAATAGGTGAAAGTAGGTGTGAACTATAAAATCTTAAGGATCAGCTCCACTAGCTGATTAAATGCACCCTTTTCGGCAAAGGCAATACCCTAAAACTGAGTTACTAGCCATGAGAAGGGAGGTCGGACATGCCCCATCATGCCCCTCCCTTCTTGAAGACACACTTAACTCATTAACAGGTCTAAGGATATGTAAGACAAACCTGGGGGTCCTCAATTTACACAACAAATACGTGGCCAGTAGCTTATCTCTCATTAACAGTCTTTAACTTAACTTAAAACATTCCAAGCCTTTAAACAAAGTTTCCTTTCTTTAACCAATTACAAGTAAAAGAGTCTTTAAACCCACCTATAACCTGTAAGCCAGCTTTGAGATGTCCCATCCTTTGGGGCCAGACCAATGTATGCCTTCCATGCATTAATTTATGACTTTACCTGTAATTCCTGCCTCCCTGAAATGTATGAAACCAAACTGTAACCCAGCCACAGCGAGTTCACTTGCTTAAGGCTTCTTGGGCGGCTCCGGGCCATGGTCCTCAAATTTAGCTCAGAGTAAACCTCTAAATTATTTTAGAGTTTGGCTTCTTTTCCATTGACAGAGGTATGGGGACCTCATGAACTCCAGCTCCTCTCATGCATAAACCCCGCACATGGAGTGGTATATTCTCCACTGAGCACCCTCCCACCTCCCCGCACAATCCGGAGGAGACGCTAGGCTGTTTGCGCAGAGCTGCACACAGAGAGCTCCCATGCAGGGACAATAGAGAATGCCCAGGGTCCCAACTGCCCACCCAGCCCCACCCTGTGGCTGGAGGGAACTGAGGGCTAAGGTGTGCCAGTGGCGAACTTTGGTATCCAAGACTTCAGAGCTGATGCGAGAAAGCCGAGGTCGCCAAAGCCGCCTCCGGCGGCTCTGATCAGCCCCTTACCCCCACAGAGGATCCCTGACCCACACACTCACCATTTCCCAGCTTCAGGGGTGTCCCGATGTCCTCCCTATGGATATTCCAGTATCTGCAGGTCACAGAGTGAAAGAGGCTGCCACGGAGACACCTGGACCTTCTGGGAAATGGAACAGTGGAGAGAAACCGCCAGCTCCCCGCCTAGCGCAAGACAAAGGCCGCGCCACAACCCGGAAGCCACCGCCTTCTTTCTGGCTGAGTACCTGATTGGACAGGCCCCATCTCAGCGCCCCTGATTGGATAAGGCTCTAGGTCCCACCCCTCTGGCCATGAGTGACAGGAGACAAGATCAGACTGGGTGCTGAATGGGGCCAGAGTAAAAAGTTTTTGGCTGTAGTTCTTTTTAGAAGGGGTTTTGCCCCTGCTCTGGGACCTGGCCCTGCATGGGACACATTTATATTTAACCTTGAGTATAAATTATATCCTTTAATAAATTTTATATATAAATATATATACACA